AACCGGAACGATGCATGCGAATGGGGATTCCGCATGTGTGCGACCGCGCCATCTGATTTATTAAGTGAACCCAGTCCGACATAGATCGTTTCAAAAAGTTACAGGCCACTAATAAAGTTGCAGTCAGAGAAACTAGCATTTTCGTACTAATAATGGTGCCCACTGCTTTGGTCAATTAATCAATACGTTTCAAAGCAAAGCGTATACTAATAATAACAATTCGACCTTTGGCTAGATGAAAGGAGCTTCAAGAAGCATGTTGGGCTTGCATGCTCACCCGCGGCATGTAAGCTCCTTAAGTAAGGTTTCGAGTAAATTACTCAATTAGGGAGCTGATAAGTGTATGTGCGAAGTTACATGTGTTCTTGGTTCCCTTCCTCCCCTTCCCAGTGTTATAAGCGCAAATAGGTTCTAGGTGTGACAACACAAACGCGAGAATGCACTTTGGTATTCCAACCACTCATGAGACGTAAGGTCTATTAAATCACTGTTTTACTCGCATCGTGCGCCCTCTTGCAAATTGTAAGTTGCGTTCGCAGCATGCTTCGTTTCAGGCTAACTTGGCGAACGGCGGTGAGAGCTACGACCACCAGCGAGGCAATCAGAGCATTACAGCGATGCACGTGACAACGTGTATGCCATCCAGACTTGTAGACGTTACTGAAAAGAAGTAACCGATTACAATTACAATTACTTCACTGTAAAAAGTAACCGATTAGAATTACAATTACAACCTCAGAAACGTAATTGAAAAATTACTCTAGAGTAATCGATTACTGCCCACGTTACTTTTCATTTAACTTTTTTTTTTTTTATTACTGTAGCATAATCCTTGAAATCTCGCGCTCAGTTGTTCGAAACAAAAAAAAAAAAAGCCTAGACCGTTTTTGTTTAGAGCTGAGTGAGTTACGCAAACACACCCAATTCCTCTCGTCAATAAATAAATAAAATAAAAAAGAGCGCTATTTAAATTCATTACTCACAAGAGGCTGGATAAGGTCATTTTTTATACCCGGATATAGACTCCCGTCTGCAAAAAAAAAAAAAAAAATGTACCCAGGAAACAAAACATTGTAGAGTGGCTTACTAATCCTCGAGGTCCCGTGCTTAGTGGTTTCGAAAAAGGAAAAAAAAAAAAAAATTGACCGTTGCTTACTAGATCTGAGTGAATCCAGGATACGTACCCAGCCGCCCCCCCCCCCCCCCCCCCAAAATAATTAAATAAATTACAAGAGAAAAATTGTAATGCGTAATTTTGTAATTGATTACCGCAAAAAAGTAATTGAATAACAAGGATCGTTACTCCTTAAAGGTAGTAATTGAAGCGTTACAAAATTACATTAAAATGTAATCGATTACAAGTAATCCATGACTTGTAACGTGTTACGTACAAGTCTGATTCCATCAAAGCGCATGGGGACAGCTCTCACGCACAATTACCTCCATTGTTTCTCGAGGGTCGTAGTTTTCGCCCTTTCCCAAGTTATGCTGAAATGGAGCGTAACCACCTACAGAAACGCGTATACGATACTAACTGTTTATACAACAAGAAAATCTGGTGTCGTGCAGCCGCAAATAAGAGGCATGCGCAGTTATCATAGCTTTTAGAGAACGAAGCTTTTGCGCCTTTACATCGCCTGAGAGTCCAGCGCCACCGCCCTGCCGTGACGTATACAAGTGGATGTTTATATGCTATGCTTTCGGGGTCTTCGAATTTGGTGGTAGCTTTTCTACGCCACCATGAGCGTGCTATGCGATAAGAACCTGAGGGAGAGGAGGATACGAGAGGGGACTTCAGAAAGCCGAGCTCCGCTTCGAGTGATTAGTGGGTAGACCTAAAGCTATAGCTGCTTTTGTCTGCATTGCATTCGTATAAAATTAACGCGTTCGATTGCGAAAGTCAAACGCCGGGCGCCAGCGTTCCGCGTTCTAACGCGTCCTGTCGTTTTTGTGCCTTTATGGTCCTTGTTTTGTTTGCGAATTTTAAAACTTTTTAAATCAGTATGAACCAACTTGCCCAAACCCAAGTTTTAATCTTCCATGTTGAAGCCGCCATCGGAATCAACCATTACAAGATCGACCTGACACAAACGTGCACTCACCATGATCGTTTTTTTTTTTTTTTTCTTTGCTATTGCATACATGAACCGTTCAGCGAGATCGTTTTATGCCCAGCAGAATGCTTTTTCCCAGTGTCGGCCTTACCCCTCTTTCTGGCATTCTTACCTCCGTTTTGCCCGAAAGGAGAGTATGGACAAGGTCTAGGACCCTGCGCAATACATGGGTTAATCCTCGAAGCAATTTGTAGGGTTTCCTCTCTTCTGATTACCCATAATTCCCACAGAACCCTTTTCTTTTTTCTTTTTCTTGAAAGGGGGGGGGGGGGGGGGAGTTAAAATGGCAGTGTTTCAAAGATCCCCCTTCCCCTAGCCCCGGGTGCATCTAGCCAAGATGTGAGAGGAGGTTTCGTAGCGAGTCCCATACTACGTGCCAATGTAATTACAGCACCTTTTTGACTAATGCCTCCATATCTGTATGTAGGCCACTATAGTACACTGACAGCAAATACAGGAATGCAGATCGTGGCGTGTAATGTGTTCCTTTATTTTTTTCTTCGTAATTTGTGTTTCGGCGTCCTAGTCACCTAATAGCGGGATCTCATTGGCTGTGGACTCCAGAGCCATGATAATAAGGCATTCGCCAAGCCCTGCCGTTTCTAAGACATGACAATGACTATAGAAGTACTCGTGTATACACATATTGAGAGGAGCTCAAGGATTTGTTGCGCCGGTATGGTATCGCGCAATTCCAAACCTTGGATGCCAGCTGCATGGAGGGTCACGCGGTGATCCTTAACACGCAGTTTTCCTTATTCGGCGCCGTTGAGACGTGCATGTCGTGCACAGGAGGACACGAGAAAGCGCCGAAACGCCGTGTTCTGGTTGGAATGATTAGTGGGTAGGTGCAAAGCTATGCATGCTTTGCACCTGACGTCATCGCGTCAGCTCTCCGGCCACCACTAAACAAGAGGGGAAGGAGGAACTCTCCCCTCAACGGGACTCGTTTGTGTGCCCCAGACGTGCCCAAACGTCGCTATTCTTCCTCAAGAAAATTATATATAGACAATGAACCCGTCACTTAATATTCGTACAAAAGCAGCTTTTCCCTCTCGCTCGTCTCCGTGGTGATGCGAAATGAACGATGTGACGTCAGTGCAAAGCATGTTTTGTTGTTCTAGTCTCTCTCTACTCACTATTCAAACGCGTCTGATTGCCGAACGCTGGCGTTGGGCGTTTGGCGTTCGTGTTAGAACGCTTTCGAACACCGGGTTGAGACAGAGGCAGCTATAGCTTTGCGTCTATAGACGTTTTTCGTTCTCTTTCGTTCTCAGCCATGTGGGTTCCTTGTCTGGTGTGCGAAACGCAAAAACAATAAAACATTTCAGCCTGGAATTTGCAAGAAAATAAAGGTGAGGCGAAACAAGAGTGTGTGGCAGTCACGCCTTTTTCGCTGAACACCTTCCAGCGGCCAAAACGATGTTTGACGCATGCCAGAAGTGACGACATTCAAGATGGCTGCGCCCTTGTGGAAAAGATGGATACACAAAGATCCTTCCAGTCAGAGCTCGACGTTCTCAGATTCCCGCGTTTTCTCGTCTTTTTCTCTTCTCGATAGTATAACATTGCAAATACAGTCTCAAGCTAATATATGACAACTGTTCGAATCTTAGAAAGCTGTAGCTCTTGATATTCTGATTGCATCACTATATCAGGCAGTCAAAAAGCCAGAAACGAGCGCCTAAGAGCTGCGCTCTAAAAAAAAAATTGTGTATCATTCACAGTCACAAACGTCATCGAAATTGGGTGAGTGCGGAGCACCAAGCCAAGAGGGTCTTTTTCTAATGACGGTGCACTTTGTGCATCAAGCGAATATACTCCGCATTAATCTAGTGTGCATGAAAAGGTGGATGAGGGTGTGTGGAAAGTAAGTACCGCCGTGTAATAGCATTGTTTATAATATAAATAGAAAAAAACGAAGATAGCAAAACGCATTGTATAGTAAGGACCGTGCATGTATGTAATCCTTCAGTTAGCTATGCGACTTTACAAATGAAAAAAAAAACAAAAAAACTATAGAGTTGAATGTTTAGTCAATTGGCGGGCCGGAGGGGGGGGGGGGGGGGGGGGGGGGTGGGGGGGGGGGGGTGGAGGGACCGGCCTGAGATTATGTTAGGCTGGTTCCTGTTCTGAATAAGCGATTTTTTGGTTTAGTTTGACTGCTATACATGCAATATCACTGCATTCTAAACAATGCCTCTGCGTCTAGCTTTCCTGCAGAGCACTCGGAGCGCCAATCAGAGCAATCGGAAATCTGTTTCGACATAAAAATTAAGCCTGCAATGTAACACTGAGCACAACGTTGATTGGTTCACCGAATGCTCTGCGGGAAAGTACACACGCGGGAGCATTCCTCGGGACGTATGACGTTTGCAACAAAAAAGAACTGTCGTTGTATAGGCTAGCTCGGTTCAACCATTTCACGAGGTCTCTAGTAACGACACGCATGACATTCGCTGAAGCCCATAGGCGCTGCCTCAATAATTGTTTTAATTAAAGTACAATATAACAAAAATATATCAACGGTCACCTACGATGTGCGGTGAAGCTCAGTGTCTCCCATGTGGTGATCATTCACGAGGCGGGAATCCTAGTTTAGAAAGCTTGAAATCTTCCAAGCTTTAAGATCCCAGCAAAATAACTAGATACTGTATACTTCTTTCGCTTCGTGGTCGGAGTTATGCTGCAGAGATGTAGCGGCGGATCGCCGGGCTTCAAAGCTCTCCTGTGTTTTGACGCGCACGCACTACCTGCTGTCTCCCGGGGGCCGGTTAACCTGCCCATTCCGCTGACCCGCCCACGTCAACAACAGAGCAAGCAAGGCCCTTCGACACAAGATATTCCCTCGGCGATCGGTTCGCCCGCGCATGGGTTGGCACTGACCTGTATGCGTCCTCTTGTGGATCTTGAGGTTCTCGGAACGCGCGAACACCTTGCCGCAGCCCGGAAACGGGCAGGGAAAGGGCTTCTCGCCGGTGTGCACGCGGATGTGGTTCACCAGCTTGTACTTGGCCTTGAAGGGCCGCCCGTTGCGGGCGCACTCCTGCCAGAAGCACGCGTGGTTAGTGCACTCGGGACCCCCCACGTGCTCCACGGTCAGGTGGGTCACAATCTCGTGCATCGACGAGAAGCTCTTGCCGCACGGTTTCCGGGGGCTCAGCGATCCGCCCATCGAGTGATGCACGTGCTGCTGGTGCAGCGCCGGGTGGTGCGGGTGATGCGGATGGTGCACGTGCGGTTCCACCCACAAGCACGTGAGTTCCTGCTTCACGGGCTGCCGCATGTAGCGGAAGAAGGCGCCGTGGGGGTGGCCCCCCATGGCCGGCGACGCGTACACAGGTTCGGGCCTCGGCTGGAAGGGTTCCCGGTAGACGTCGGCCGCGGTCAGCGGTAGCCTGGAAGGGTACAGTTCCCCGGCCGTCGGGTGATGGTGATGGTGATGATGGTGGTGAACGAACATGCTCTCGGGGGTCGGGTGGTGATGGTGGTGCGGCGGAGGCGGTAGCTCCGTGGCTCCCCGCAGCAGAAAGTCCCTCGCGACGGCGGCCGTGTAGTTGGGGTGATGGTGGTGCATCCCGAAGCCGTTCTGGAAGTGCGGCGCTTCGGCGGCGTTCATCTCCTGGTCGAAGGGGTCTAGGCGGGCGGCCGCGGCCGCGGCGGCCGCGGCTGCCGCTGCGGCGGCCGCCGAGCTCGACACCGCGGCGCCGCGAGGCCTGCCCAGGCTGCTGCCGCTTTCCATCATCGCGTCGGCGTCGGCGTCGTCGGCGCGGCGGCGGCGGGGCGTCGTCGCATCGCGGGCGCTGCTCTTTCGAATACTAAAGGCACCCCCGCCGGGAGCCGGTCCAACTCCCCCCACCGCCACCATCGAGCCCGCGCGGCGAGGTGGGGGCGCTGCCCGCAGCGGGAACAGCCTTTCGGGTGGCGGAGCCTTTAGAAGGCACCGCCTATTTCGGCGTGATTGACGTCGCGAGCTCCGCCCCTTGGCGCTTACGCGCCGCTCGGCCGTGCGTGGCGGAGTGCTGCGGTGTTGCGCGAGCACGCTGCTGGGCGCTGCGTTAGCGCGTCGTTTTTGTGGAGGGGTGGTGCTATTGCGCGGATTAGAATTACTACGACGGCACTCGTGTGACCGGGAATTACGGAATGAAAAGGAAAAACGGGTCCGCGTCGCCACTCGGACTGCCGTCTCGCTTGTTGCCCCGACTTGGGGCTCGGGCGGAGACCGACTTGTTGAGAAAGGAGTCTCGTCGTATCGCGCTATGGGACGCTCCTGATTGCGACTTTAGTGCGCGGAGTAGACGATGCGGAAGCTGGAAGCGCGAAGGAGACGTATCGAGGATCATCCTTAATAGCCCGAAAGACACGGTCGCTGCTCGGTTGATTGTTTGATGGCTACACAAAAGACCTCGGCAGTGATTAGGACGTCTTAGCGAGGTCGCCGAGAATAAGTCTCAACTCTCGATTTAAGCCGGATACTCGTTTTCAAAGAGTGGCCGATGTGGCGACGATCTGTGGTACTCGTCGTTGGTATGAAACGCTGCGTTGTCTAACGTGTCTCTTTAGTTTTTGAGCACCTTTTCTTCGAGCGAGTGTTCGCGCCAATAAAGGTGTTTGAACAACTACGCTCTTGTGCCGGCTTGCGAAGGCGATGCACACGAATGCATACTGCGGTAGAGTAGGAAACTAAAGGTTGGTCCACACATTTCCGTGAGTTGCTTTTTGCTAAAGGTTGTCATTTGCGTGGGCTTACGTTTGCGGAAGCCGCTTTGTAAGCGGCTTAAAACCCCGTTGCCATGGCACCCCGTAAAGGGATTATCGTCGCAAGCCGTTGCAGTCACACTCGGTCGAACACACGCAAGTGTGTGAACTATTAGCACATATGAAGATAACAAAGTGCGAACGAAGTGTGTGTGAGCCAGCACACAGAGATTTGCGGGACGGATAGATCAAGCGTATAGGGCTCCTGAATGATGGCTACGCCTCAGAAGTGAAATAATGAAATAGTCTGTATGAAAAAAACAACCTCGCATTCCTCGATTACCTATGGCTGAAACCGGGGCTGGCACAGGATCGCATTCCTCTTTTAGCTGTGTGCAACAGTCGTTATCGTCTATAATTAGGGGTTACTAAACTGCGACTCGCGAATCGCTTGGGGCCCTTCGCGTGGCCAAGTGCGGCTCAAAGCGTATACCCTCACCCCCTCCTTTTTTTTTTTTCTCGGGCAAAGTCAAGTAGAAAAAGAAAAAAAAAATTAATGACAGCGACCTTTCATTTTTGAAGTCCTACAATGTATGAAATTTGTTGTTGGAAATTGGTGTCTCACGTAACGTAAATTTTTCCCTCTGAATTTAGTGGGAAACTGAATTGGTGTACATGGTCCCGTTACGTCAATTTCCCGCTAACTTTAAGGGGAAACTGAAATTTTATTTTGGCCACAAGACGTCACCTTTTGCTCTAAATTGAGCAGGGAAACTGAGTTAACCTATGGGTCACGTGTCGTCGATT